GCAAGAATGGAGGCATCTCGATAGCGGTTTGTTCCCCCGAATCAAAACGGGCGGTCAATGAGAACAATGAGATACAAATCGGAAAAGATGCTGCTCCATGCCCGCAAATGGCGCCAAGGAAACGCGACTTATGAGTTGGATCGCTTAATAATAGCATATAATTAATAGAACACTACTGCTAGTTTAACAAGTAAATACAATTTATCTCCCATTTGTCCTGGAAGATTTCTGTTGAAGTAAACTCTACATTCTACATGATATGTATAAGGCTGAATCTCTAACCATACAGTACATACATGCATTACATGTACTACATAATTTACCAAAATTAATTTGAAGATGCAGATTGTTTCATCAAAGATACTTCTGTAGTAGTTCCACCATTTGTTATTGTTTTCGTTAAATGAACTGGATCATCTACATCTGTACTAATGCATATATCTAACAATGACAACTATCGATATCTTCTTCCATCGCTAATTGACAATTTCAATTGCAAGCGTATTCCACGTACTGGGGGTTGAAACGAATTTTTCCGGCGAATTATTTATAATATCCGCATGTCAGCTGCCAAGACCCAGGAATATGACTGCACTGCCAAGTGTACATGTCGCCAACATGGAAACAGCATCACAGCCGCGCTTACAAAGCGTTCAATCGACAATCAAAATCTGGGAGCGTTTATCTTCAAGACTTGTGGAAATTTCGCCAACATCATAGATGACCTGGTAAGGGCAGCACTAGGAAGTCACCAATATGTGCATTAAAACTATTTTGTGTCCCCAGGGCCGCTCTGCTGTGCACATGTCAGCTTCCGTGGCGCGATATGAGATTCTGGAGTGGCTGTTGAACCACGGAGCGTACATTAACGGACTCGACTTCGAGTCTGGCAGCAGTCCCTTGCACAGAGCCCTATACTACGGCTCCATAGACTGCGCTGTGCTCCTGCTGCGCTATGGGGCAAGCCTGGAGCTGCTGGACGAAGACACACGCTGTCCGCTGCAAGCCATTTGCCGCAAGTGTGACGAAGATTTCACCACAGAGTCGCAGTGAGTCTATCCAGAGCTGCAGGCAGTCCTGACCTAACCCATTCTGTTGCCGTGCAGGAACGATGTGCTCGTCTGGGGCTCCAATAAGAACTATAACCTGGGCATTGGCAACGAGCAGAACACCAATGCTCCTCAGGCGGTGGATTTCTTTCGGAAGTCCAACATCTGGATAGAGCAGGTGGCGTTGGGGGCTTATCACAGTCTCTTTTGTGACAAGAAGGGTCATCTATATGCCGTCGGCCATGGAAAAGGCGGACGGCTGGGCATTGGTGTGGAGAACAGTTTGCCAGCCCCTAAGCGTGTGAAGGTCTCGTCGAAGCTGAACGATGATTCCATCATGTGCCTCAGTGTCTCGCGACAACACTCTCTTCTGCTCACGCATCGTTCGTTGGTTTTTGCCTGCGGCATTAACACCGACCATCAGCTGGGAGTGCGTGATGCGCCCGAGAGTCTGACGCAGTTCAGGGAGGTGGTTGCATTGCGTGACAAGGGGGCCAGCGACCTGCTGCGTGTGATCGCCTGCGACCAGCACTCCATTGCCTACAGCAGCAAGTGTGTGTACGTCTGGGGGTCCAATCAGGGGCAATTTGGCATCAGTCCCAACACCGACACCATTATGGTGCCCACATTGGTGAGTCTCTCTCTATATTTAAATCCTATATATAGTAAATCCCTTTCTAATATTTCAGATAAAACTACCTGCGCGCACTTCAATCCGCTTTGTGGAAGCCAATAATGCAGCCACGGTAATTTACACAGAGGAGAAGATGATTACTTTATTTTATGGCGACAAGACTAGATACATTAAGACTCCTAAGTAAGTTTTATCCATCATTTATCATCATATTATTATTAACAAACATTATTTCGCACAGCTACGAAGATCTCAAGAGCATAGCTGTAATGGGAGGGCATTTAAAGAACTCAACAAAAGGATCTGCAGCAGCCTTAAAGCTGCTAATGCTTACCGAGACGAATGTGGTGTTCCTGTGGTACGAGAATACTCAGCAATTCTACAGGTGAGTCTCTCCAGATCCCTAAGTAATCTTTAACCCTTGAACAATCACATTGTAGATGCAATTTTTCGCCCATTCGCCTGCCTGAGATTAAAAAGGTTCTGTACAAGTGCAATCAAGTGCTGATACTGTCTTTGGATGGATGCGTTTATCGCGGCAAGTGCAATCAAATTGCACTGCCAGCCAACATGCTGGAAGATAAGTCCAAGCTCAATCTGGATTTATGGCACAACAACGATCAGAATCGCACGGAGATATCGAGGGAGCATGTGATCCGCATCGAGCTGCAGCGTGTGCCCAACATTGATCGGGCCACCGATATATTCTGCGACGAGAGCTTCTCCTCGTTCGCCGTGCTGCAGGAGTCGCACATGAAGTACTTCCGCAAGCCTCCACTGCCGCGCAGGGAGCATAACTTCAAGAAACTCTACCACGACACCTGTGAATCGGATGCCGTGCACGATGTCATCTTCCATGTGGATGGGGAGCGTTTTGCGGCGCACAATTTCATCATTTATAGTCGTGCACCAGGCCTCAGGGAGCTCACACGCAACTACTTGGACAAGAATGTTTATCTGAACTTTGAAAATCTCACGGGCAAGATGTTTGAGCTTATCCTTAAGTATATATACACCAGTTACTGGCCAACAGAGGATGGTGAGTGCACACTTAAACTTCAAAGGAAACCCTTGGTTACATTTTTGGTTCCTTTTTTTTAGATATCGACTGCATTCAGGAAAGTTTGGGGCCCTCCAATCCACGGCAGCGAAGTCTAGCCTGCGAAATGTTTATCCCGCATCTGGAGACCTTTCACCTGGTCGAACTGGCTCGATACATGCGTAGCTACGTACAGGAACATCAATTTCCACTGCCCAGTGCGCGGCAACGTTTCAGTCGGCTGCATCGCTCGGACTACCCAGAGCTCTACGATGTACGAATCGTGTGCGAGGACTCGAAAGTACTGGAGGCTCATAAATGCATGCTAGTGTCACGCTTGGAGTACTTTGAAATGATGTTCATGCACTCGTGGGCCGAGCGCACCACAGTCAACATGGAGGCAGTGCCCGTGGAGTACATGGAACCAGTCCTCGACTATCTCTATAGCCTGGATACGGAGGCATTCTGCAAGCAGAACTACACGGAATCCTTTCTCTACAACATGATCACGTTCTGCGATCAGTACTTTATTGAATCGCTGCAGAATGTTTGCGAATCGCTCATTCTGGACAAGATCAGCATACGCAAGTGCGGCGAGATGCTAGACTTTGCTGCTATGTACAACTGCAAGTTGCTGCACAAGGGATGCATGGATTTCATATGCCACAACCTGGCCAGAGTGCTCTGCTACCGCAGTATCGAACAGTGCGATGAGGCGACCCTCAAATGCCTCAACGATCATTACCGCAAGATGTTCTCCAATGTTTTTGACTACCGCCAGATTACGCCCTTCTCGGAGGCCATAGAGGATGAGCTGCTGCTTAGTTTTGTCAATGATTGTGTGGTTGATCTGGACTACCGAATGGATCCGGTTTGTTTGCCGCAACCACCTGTTGATTCCTTCTTGAATATCTGTTTTGCTTTTTGCAGGAAACGAAACTGAAAGCGGCAGCCAAGCATAAGCAGAAGGACTTGCGGAAGCAAGATGCCCGTCACTACTACGAGCAGCAGGCCATATCCAGCATGATGCGATCTCTGAGCGTTAATGAGTCTGCCCCTGGCCCCGAGGCAACATCCGGTACGCAGGAAAGCTCCCGCAACGAAGCCAAGAACTGGTCTCGGGTGGTGGACAAAAAGGAACAAAAGCGGAAGCTAGCTGACACTGCCCTGAAAGTGAACACAACACTCAAGCTGGAAGAGCCGCCTAGGTCGGAGCTCGAGGTCATTGAAAGGACGCCCATTAAGGAGCAAACGCCCCCGCCAACCACCCCTCAGGCAGAGACCAGCACGCCGCTGAGTAAAAGCTACAATCTCGATCTAAGCTCCCTGACGCCACAGTCGCAGAAACTGTCGCAGAAGCAACGTAAGCGTCTCTCCTCCGAATCGAAGAGCTGGCGTTCGCCAGTGGTGGAGCAAGAGCCCAGCACTCCTGTGGCCGTACTGAATGCCTGGGGCCTTACACCCGCCGCTCCGTCGAGTTCGTTTAATGATTCGCCCGCAACGGGCAGCGTTTCGGATCCCACTTCCTTTGCCAATATGATGCGTGGACAAGCGGCAGCCTCTGCAACGCCCACGGAGAAGGGACAAAGTTTCTCCAGGATACTCGCCGAGGAGCGACGCCAGCGGGAGTCGTTCGAGAGGATGCGCAACAAGTCACTGGTCCACACACAGATCGAGGAGACGGCCATTGCCGAGCTACGTGAATTTTACAACGTCGACAACATCGATGACGAGACAATCACCATTGAGCGGAAGTCCAGGCCCACAGACATAAACTTTAGCACCTGGTTGAAGCACTAAATTACATATATGATGTTGCTCCGCGCATGCTTAAAGAGCAGAAAGGATAGGAGGCATCTTCACTAGGGTAGCTGCAGCAATTAAATTTGGTTTCTTTATTGGAGTATCCGTATTAGAATTGTGACTGCAACTGTAACTGCATGTGGAGATTAGTGAGAATGCGCAGGCCATCAAATGTAGAACTCGGAGCCACCTGGAAAGGTGTGCGATTATGTACTGGCTGGGCCTTGGATGCAATCAAAGGACGGCACATTGAGTAACAAACTTTATTGCATGAGAGTATAGATATAGATGTGGAATACAATTATTTACAAGAGCTTGTGTGGGGTGGATTCACATTGAGAGAACAGATGAGACAACAACGACAACATACTACAAATATGACAAATAAATAGCCATCTAGCTTAGCTAACCGAATCGTACTCGAAATAATAATAAACCCGTTGCTTATGCAAATGAGATAGCGATGGATGGATAAATCATCAATGGACGGACACAAGCACAGATAGAAAGAGAGGACCACAAAGACGAAGAAACAGAGATGGAGTTTGATTGGATTGGCTTGGCTTGTTCAGAAGCACTCCTTACGAAAAGAGAACCCGTACTGATCGCACTTGTAGCGCAGCGTCTTGGCCAGCTGCGGCGGACCGCAATAGAAAACAGTCACCTTGCCCTTCTGCTGTGCCTGCAGCTGCTTGAACACCTTGTCCCAGTTGGGGCGTCCTGCATTGGTGCGTGTCTTCAAGCCTGTGATTAGATCCCGCTTGCCCTGCAATACACAAAGTGGATGAAATTTGAGTACTGCTATTGAAATTTCGTTGATTTTGCGGCTACTACCTTCTCGTGCAGCAAATCCAGGGCCAGCTGTAGACCCACCGCCTTCATGTCGGTCCGCTGCAGGGCACTCGTGATGTACATGTGCATGTCCAGGAAGCTATCAATGGAAAAACCCATTAGCAAAGCTCTAGGAAAGGGATATTAATTCTGCTTCTACCGTTCCATGGCCCCGCCCAGCTCCGCCTGCTCAATCTCCAGCTGGGAGAGGAGATTCACGAACCACTCGAAGGAGCGCTGATCTCGATTGATCCAGAAGAAGTCCACCTTGCGCAGATTCATCACAGACTTGGGAATCTCACTGGCCCACTCGAATTGGCAGCGCGGACAGCTGTGCCGCGCCTTCCAGTAGCGGTGCATAATGGACTGCAGAATGGAGGCGAAGGGCGTGACACCGATGCCAGTACCAATGAGCACCGCATGCTGCGCCCCAAAGATGTGGCTGGAGGGTGCTCCGTATGGGCCATCGATGAAGATCTAAGCACGGGGGAGAGAGAAGTTAGTAAATGAATTTGGGTTAGTGCCCAGCCTGAGGGTCTGATTGTGTGTGTGTGTTTTGGTGTGACCCAAACCTCCATGACGCCTGCATCGAGTGTGACCTTGCTACCGCTGTTAGTTGTGGAGCTACCGCCGCTGCCGCCACCACTTCCGCCGCCGCGATTCGTTAGGGATGTGGACAGGCTACGTAGGAATGTGGGACGCCGCAGAATCGACTTTCTGCTGCTCGTCCACGCTTGTGTGTTGTCCTTTTTGGTTGAAGTGAATTGGATGATTGTTAGTTTTTAAAGGCCAATCTGTTAGATCTACGGCTCATACCTCGAGCGGCTTGGACACGGCCTCTGCCTGAGTTAGGCTGAGCCTGGTCATCTGCAGCCTGTCGCTGGACTCCGCCTTGGACAGCTGCCCCTGCTCCGCTCTGCTGGCCAGACTGCCGCTGTTCTCCGGCGCCATAGCCAGTTGGGACGGCCCCTCGTGCTCCTCCATGCTGGGCGTCTTAAAGGCAATGATCGTGGGCTTGTTACGCATATAGCGGAAGCTCTGGGCCAGCGACTTGTTCTGCGGACTGAGGTATGCCAGACCCACGCTGTTGTTCCGGGCACGTCGCACCCGCTTGTCGTCGAACGTACGCTCCGACTCTGAACGGCCCAAGGCACGAAGACTTTGAATGGAAAGACCATGGGATTATGGATGAATCTTTCGAGATTGAATATATACTCACGCCTTGAGCCGGCTGCGTTTCTTGATCTTTACGCTGATGTCGGGCAGCGAGATGCTCTTTTCCAGGGGCCGCTGCTTGAAACCACCCGGATCCTCGCGCTCTCCGTCTCCAATGAAAGCTCCATTCAGCATGCCCGTCGGACTGGGCTTGCTCTTCGGCTCGCCGGGCTCTTTGCGGGAGAAGGTTCGTTGCAGAGTTTTCTTGATGCTCCGAATACGATTGACGCCCGTTGTTGGAGCCGATTCTGGCGCCTGGGGAGCCACGAGCTTGCGATGCTGACGAGGCGGTCGCACCGGTGGACCCGCACCCGCCTGTCCGACCATGTTGCGTGCCAGGAAATCCGTTTGTGGTGTGGACGTGGCAGCTGTGGTGGCCATGCCGCCGGGCAGCGCAGGATTGCGTGTCTCGTTGAGGAGCATGAAGCTGGGCGTGGGAATGGCGTGCATGTGCTGGCCCACCTCGCCCTTGTGCAGCTTCTGCTGCTCGCGCTCAAAGTAGCGATAGAGGCGGTTGGTCCACTCGCCCACGGTGCGGATGTGCAGCCACATGTAGTCCTCCTGCTCGGGCGCTGAGCTGATGGTGAACGGATGCCACTCGTAGTTGGCGATGGCGGGAATGTTGACGAAGACGTAGTCGCCGGGGCGGAAGTTGAAGTTGAATGGCCGCTTGATGACCAAATGGATCACCTTCGAAGGCAGCAGCAGTCCGGAGCTAATGTACGTCTTGCCGTGCTCTCCCCGCATCCACACGTAGCGCAGCACTCGCTCCACAATGTATACGAGGCCCGGCAGCAGGAACCACTTCCAGAAGTTGGGCCCATGGAAGAGGGTGAGTATCCAGAAGGGCACGTACAGCAGATGCGTCCAGTAGAACACCTCAAAGCTGCCCTTGCGCCGCACAAACGGCTGCGAGCAGACAAACATCACCACAAGGATCGACAGCAGGGCGACGCCCGTGGGATTGGCACAGCCAGGGATCAATCCAAACAGACCCGGACGATCCGTCAGCAGCCACTCGCCGATTGTGTAGTGTCCAGCATTGATGTTCGGATCATTGATCACGATAATCGAGAAGTTGAACAGATGCATGATCGTGTGGATGAGGCTGAGCACCGATATGGTGATGCCCGTCAGCTTGTGCAGGTAGACATGATGGTCCAGCGGCAGATACGACGACAGCCCCCGTCCCCTGAGATACGTGAGGGAGTGCCGCAGCATCAGCACCAGCACCCAGGCGCAGTTGAAGTTCAGGCATTGTCCTGCAATGAAGAGCGAATGAAGATCGAATCGGATTGGAGCGAAGATCTGCGACTACTCACCGCAGGCTCTGGCTATGATGACAAAGCCATTGCTGGCCCGATACTGGATGGCACGTGAGATGAACAGGCAGAGATTGACGGCTATGTAGAAGAAGAGGTACGTGACAAAGACCTGATTGTTCTTCATGTAAGCCAGCGTCAGCTGGTGAGGTATCGTGTTCCACAGCCTGCCAGTGACCGCCGGACGATCCTCGGTAACGGGCACCAGCCAGCGATCGATGCTAAAAGATTCCAATTAGAGTTTATCTTTCTCTCTCTTATGATCAGAGCTTACGTTATGCTGAGATTCTCCAGCAGGCCTCCGTGTTTGTGCAGCTGATTCTTGAGCGCCTCGTAGGTGATCTCGCCGCTGTTGTGTGGATCCGCATCCTCGAACATGGCGCTGGTGAGGTCCTCGATCTGATCCTCGGAGAACTCCATGCCATTCTCCTTGATGCAGTGACGTATCACATCGTGCAGCTCCTTGTGCTGTATCAGGCCATCGCCTGCAAAGAATTGGGCTAACAACGGGAATCCTTGATTTCTTCACTCACTCACCATCTATGTCGTAGACTTTGAACAGAAAGCGTATCTTGTCATCGGCCGACTGGCCCGAGAACTGATGTATGGCATCGATGAACTCCTGCAGCGAAATGGAACCCGAGTTGTCCTTGTCAAAGATTTGAAAGACACGCTCCGTGAAGAAGGGCTATCGAACGATAAAGAAAGTTTGTTAAGCTAAAGTTACATGACTTGAGGCAGTCTGAACGCACATTCTTGGAGGTGACAATCTTCTGGAACTCCTCGCGACGAATCTCCTGCTCGTTGCCGACGGTGTTGCGGAACAGCTGCTCCAGGCGGGCCAGCGAGCTCTTGTCGAAGCCGGTGCGTGGCCGGGAGTTGGTCAGATGCGATATAAACTCCATTACCTGATTGGTGGATATGAGATTGGTCCCATCCATGTCTATCAGGCGGTACAGCTTGTCCAGTATCTAGGATTAGTGATGGATTAGTGTATGTACACCTGCTGCTGCTGGTGGGCTGCCACTTACTCCGCGCGTATGCCAGATGTCGCGAAAGTTCTTGAAGCTCACGCGGCTGTTCTCACCGCAGATCACATACGCCACCGATTCGATCTGTTCGGCAAAGTCCATCTGGCGATCATCGCTGTAACCAAGAGCAGAACCCAAAGAGATCGATCTCAGTACTACCATTAACGATACCCAATACTGTGCCTATGCCCATGCCCCAACGTCTGCTCCCGATGTGCCCTCCCGCTGTTGAAGCTGCTCGCGCTATATTTGTATTTGAATGACTTCATTACGACAGCCAGCCACAATGACAGTTTCTGGCGCAGAGTCTTAGACACAGCTCCGATCCCAGTACCCGTACGCGTACCAGTCGCAGCTTTAGCGCTCTCAGTGCTTCAGCTGTTGCTGTTGCTGTCGAGGCATGCGGACTATGTTAGCTGTTGTATATGTTAACATACAACACAGATAGCATCGCCATTGGCGATGCCATCTCACGGCAGACTATGTCTTGGCTGGGGCCTCCACTGCGCTACACTCTGCTCTGCTCTGCTTTGGATAAGTGTAGCGCTGGCATTTCAATTCGTGGCAAGAGGCATTTGTGGTTGTGGTGGCTTCTGGTTGGCGCAGCTGGAATGCCTGGAGCACGCCACAAAGGTGCGTGTGTGTGGACTGGACTGGAGTGGAGTGAAGTGGACAGCCTGGCATGGCTTACCATTTCTTTTTTTTTTTTCTCTCTTTTGCTCCTCGCCTTTTTGCTGGCAAGCGAGCTAATTGTTTTGGCACCGTCACAGCAAATGATCCACGAAGCGGGAGACAGGGACAGGGCACAGGGAGATCTAACTAAAGGAGAAAAAAACTTACGTTAAACGCCCCTTGATATGCTCGATCCAGCGATCCTGTAGTAGATGGCCATTCCGTTCGAGATCGAAGAGTTGGAAGAGCTTTTGCTGGAATTCCTGTAAGCACACAGACAAGAAACAAGTTGTAAAATAATGAATTTATGTGTCCAGTTTGCCAGTGGATGATGCCAGCCCCAACCCCAAAGCACTGTATCTCTCCACTTGGAGCCAAGTGTTAATTAATTTATGAACGTATTGTTTAAAGAAGCATTTGTTTATGGCCCCGCACTTGAAGATTTATACTCGCTGCAGTGTTTACACAGAGATCGAGAGAGAAAGATACCGAGAAAGATTCCCCCTACCCTGCCATATCCATTTCTATAGCATAATTGAAACTACTCAAACTATGCGGCAGTGGATGCTGATGAATGTTTAGCATAAATTAAACGCTTATTCATATTTTAATGACATTCGATGGCACGATCATGAGCGCCCAGCATTGTCTGCACATCGAAGATGGGATCGCGGGCCGACGTTTTTCATCAACTGTGGATCACAGTTGATTGGCCGCCCCTTCAGGCGGAGTCCCACAAGACTCCCAAAGATGATGATGAAAAATGTGCATATTTAACGGATGAGCACTGGGGGGGAATCGCAACGCGGCGTTTACTGGTTGGACAGCTTTCGGGGAGCCCATAAAACGGAATACACACGAAGCGAAACACAAAGCACGAAAGTAAACACAGCACAAACAAAAATGTAAGAGAAAGAGAGACACAAATCAAAAATAAACGAGTTTTCAATTCTGGCATCAGGTAAAGGACCACAACACAACGCGATGACCACAAATATGTAGCACAAGGTCAAGCCCAGCAGAGAGAGAGAGCGAGAGAGAGAGAGAGAGACTGGAACTGCAACTCCATTCCCCAGAGTCCCTATCCATTCCCAGAGTGCTCCCATTTGCATGGCAGCTCCACTGGTTGACGTAATTAAACCCGTTGATATACAACAATTAAGACTGGTACATGCTGCAGCTTGGTGGAGGGGCAAGAGACTACTCCAGACCACTCACCTCGTCCAGAAAGAGCTTGCGGAACGCCTCACGTGTATGCCTTCCCTCGCCCTCGTCAAAGAGCGCACTGCACTCCGATATCAAGAGCCAGCGCTGCTTCTCCCGACGCGCCTCCAACTCCATGGAGCTGCAGTTTTTATCTAAATTGAGGTTGTATCGTTCCATGTACAAATTTGATTGCAACTGAGATGTCTGCTGTGGCTGACTCTGACTCCAACTCTGATGCTGACGCTGCACTTCCTGTTTGCTGCCATCGCTGGCTATCAGAATGCTGGGCGAGGTGGTGCTGGTCAGCACTAAGCCAGCAGGGGCCGTCGGCACAGCCGCATCCGTTGCATCCAGGTCGAGTACGGCGGCGCTTGTGGTGCTATCGCCATCTGAATCCGCATTAGCGTGGACTTCCTCTACAGGATGATCGCGAGAACCGCCGTGTAATCTCTCCAGGTACTGGGCCGCCTGATGCAGCACGTGACTGACTCCGCTGGCCTGCAGCTGCACGGGCTTATGGGCCGGGGACTGCGACTCAAACTGTGGCTCCGCTTCCGCAGCTGCTGTCGTGGTGGGCAGCTCGTCCGAGAAGGAGACCTTCTTGGGGGAACGCGACGGCGTGACGGGTATTTCCAGCGATCTGCTCGAGGACACCGAACCCCGATGGTTCTCCGCTTGACTCTTTGCGTCGTTGTTGTCGTTATCCATACTAAAGATTAAGCACTCACTAAGCACACGGCACAGTTCAACCTTTAACACATTCTAGATCCTGTCGATCACTCACTTAATCCCGATTATCCTCGTGCTTCGGATCGCAGTCTAACTGCTCGCTTCGGTTCGATACGATTCGGTTCAGTTCGGACACACGACGGCAAGGCAAGGCCAATATGCACTTTGACAATAAGTTAAGTCCAATCGGACGCAGCGGCGAGCAGCAACTGAAAGCGAAAGCCCCAAACGGCGCACGAATGAGGTGAGGCGAGGGCCTCGGATCGCTGGCAGAGTGTCGTTTCGGCTGGGATTCGGATTGACTCGGCTGCTCGCGGGGCTGTCTGCCTGCCCGCGGGGCTGACTGCCTACCTGCCTCGACTGAGCGATCGCTTTTTGAAACGCGTTTCGGCTTACAACGTGCCGAATATCGGTTTAATATTTCAATATTTTCTGCCCAGCGAGAGAACCAGAATCGAGCGAGTTGTTGGTTTTAGTTTTTAGAATGGATTTGGATGTACGTTTCGTATGGCATACAATGTATGGGGCTGGAATCTGTATCTGTATCTGTATCTGGAATCTGAATATCGACTCGTAAAATGGCTGCCTATCGTGGAGCTGTGCTGCTTGCTGCCTGCCTGCTCCAATTGCCTTGTCCCATATCTGTGCGTCACTTGGTTGATATTCTAATTTGGTTTTTGCGCGACTCAAACGAAATCATTCGCAGCGCTTGTGTACTTTATTCGATAAGGGACGGCACGGGATGGGACGCTTCCAGGCAGGTGCAAATACGAGTCATTCTGTTCTTTGGTTTTTCATTATTAATTTCAATGCTCGTGTTGTGTAATAATCAAAGTTGTTGCGCCCCATCCCAGCGTATGTGCCCGGAGCGGTGGAACGTGTCTATTTCCGAATTCCCGCTCTGAATGCACACTTCAAATCAAATCACAACACAAAGTATGAGCGGGGCTCTTTGTTTCGGATTGCAATTGGTTTGGGATGGAATGGAATGGGGCCATAATAATGGGTCAATGGCAATGGGCCAGGCCAAGTCTGGCCTAGGAAATGGCTAGGCGAGCCACTCAACTCACCACACTTTGGGCCAATCAATCCAATTCACATTCGAAGCAAAAAAAACACATCGAAATCCACGGCTAAGCGTTAAACTGTTGGCTCTAAGCGGTCAAAATCTCATCAAGGTTAGGCCAACACTTCCACCGACAGACAGACAGACACTTTCAACGAATGTATTGTTATCGAGTCATTGAACTCCTCCAATCACCCATCCCGCTCCACTGCAGCGCCTTGAACGATTGATTGCTGGAACTGAACGATTGACTTGGAGTGAGAATGGTGCGGGGAGTCGTAGAGCTGAAGCTGTGGAAGTCTCTTGGCAAAGGGCAAGTCTTTGTGGAGCAGAATTTTGACTCGTTTCTCTCTCTCTCTCCTGAAACTGATCTGCTGATTAATGTTTGGCCATGGCCTTTGGCACAGGTTACTGCCCTGCCCCGCTCGCGATTGTTATTGTTTCCGCCTCCGCTTCCACTTACTCCACATCTTCGCTAATCCCTCAGTGCACTGTGTGTGTGAGTTTGCCCCTCGCATCCGCATTTGCTGCTCACCTGCGTGAGCAATTTTTATGGCCATTGTTAATTGCTGAAATTGGCATTCCCTGGCACAGCGGGCGAGCCGATCAGTGGTGGTGGTAGCGGTGGTGGCCAGCAGCAAGTCACATTGCCATGGCTCCCCCGGGGTCCAGGAATTGGTGTTTCATTGTGATGGCGCTGCAATTGACACCGCTGCGGCCAATTAAGACTCCAAGTTGGTATCAGAGTTGCAATTGGAATTGTGGTTGCAGTCGGAGTCCTTGTTTCGCCGGGTGGTCTGCAATCGCAACATATTCCCCATACCCCAAGGCCCCCATCTGCGACGGCTGGCATGCAGATTGATTTGCTCGGCAAACGTTCGCCGCTTGTTGGCAATTTTCCAAATGGCCGGCGACGAGAGGCAGTGTCATCAATTTAAATTAAGTTCCAGCTTTTTATCGCCACTCGGCGAGACCACTCCGAGTGGAGCCTTACTGCCTTACCTCCTTCTGGCCCCTATCTGCTCGTAGTCTCCTGTCCCGTCATCATTATCCAAAACATGTCATTAGGCGGCCGCGACCAGCGACCAAGCAAAGAGGAGTACAGAATCCTGTTCTTGCTCTCTCTCTCTCTCATTGTATCGCTGTCTCTGTCTCTGTGCTATCAACTGGAATTCCAGCGGCAGCGACTGAGCGTTGCGTTGCGTGCAGCGGAAATTGGCCAAAGAGACGGGACGACGACGACGACCAATGCGACATCTACGCCGTCGTCGACATCGATGTCGGCCTGGAGTCAGACTCTGCGCAGACGCAGACGCGTATACAACGTCGTCGCCTAATAAAGCAGCCGCGATCGCAACGCTAATTAAAATAATTGAAATTTCTCACGGGAAACGCGCAATCGCGACACTTGCAGGGCATCCTTCAACTCAACTCAAAGCCCATCATCCATTTCATTCTGATACTGATTCTGATTCAGAGTCTCATTCTCATTCTCATCCTCCTCCAACGACATCCACACGGAGTTCGAGTTCGGGTCCAATGCTGGAGCCCATATCCGTTGCAAGTGCGGCTAATTGCAAATTGCAACATGGACATGTGGACATGTCCAACAATCGAATTGACAGCTGCTTTACCCTTGGCACATTTGATGGACATTAACATGGATCATCGTTCGATGTTCGTTCTGTCCGCAGTTGCTGCAGATGAGATTCCCTCTCGCTGCCAATTCCCATTCTCATTCCCATTCCTCAGCATAAATGCATAAATTTCATTAGCCGAAGACAGTTCTTGTTGGTAGTGCTCCACTCTAGTGTTTGGCACTTAAATTAAATGTCAGCTTAGTTGGCTGACTCTTTTGCAGCTCTTAAAGAGTGCCACAGGAAATGGCAGCCAAAAAAAAATATAAAAAAATAAAAACAGAACTGCACGATAAATAAACAGAGAAATATTGTTGCCAGAGATCGTGGATCGTTGCATGCGCACTCTGATCGAGATCTCAGCGACAGATAGCGGGCCCAAGTTACAATCATACATATGCATATGGAGTACAGACTACCCCCTGCTCCCATTCCATACTACCATTGACTCCGCCTGGGCCGTAAAGTTGTCGAAAATGATTTGCAGATCAAGATTTGTGCGCACAATTTATGTGATAACCCACTAAGAGCAACCCAAAATGGTAATACCCGCACTCGCACCACAAAAAACACTCTTGAAAGAAATGCAATTGCTATGCGAGATCAGCCTCTGCAGCTCTCCAGCTCCGCCCATTCCGCTATTCCCCTTAGTCCATGGTTCCGGCTGGGTCCAATTAGTGCCTGGGACCAGCACTCAGCACTCAGCACTCCGGCATTGCATTTCAGATTCATGGACAATTGTTAGTGCCTCCATGTAGCGCTAATAATGACGCCTTTAAATGTGCAATAACAATTTTTGAGACGCGCAAAAAGTGCGCTCTTTCTACGCGATATATATATAGCTATAGCTATAGCCTATATCTGTCTATCTGCCTGAGATGTGTGTGTGTGTGTGTGTGTGTGTTTGTTTGTGTCTCTGTGTGAATGAGTAAGTGCGTTTAAGTACCGCCCATAGTCTGGCAAACCAGCTACTAGCTGTCTTCTGTCTGCTGCCTGCTCCACCTCCTGCTTCTTCATCGCCTTCACTCCTGCTGATCTACAAAAAGCTGCTCATGAGCTACGTGAGTTTTTTACTGATCACCAACCCCGGCAGGCAGTAAGGCAGACGATTGACTTTGATACGTGTAGCAGGCGGAGTGCGAATATCACTTAACCAGAAAGGCATCCAACCAAAGTGGAGGATTAAAGGTTTAATCCACAAACGCCAAATAGAAATGATTAAGAGGCAACACTGCAAAAGGTCACGTAAATGGTTCGATAATTGAAATAATAAGAGTGGGGAGAGGCTACCTTAGATGTTGTGGGTTGCATTCTTTCAGTAGTGTAAAATCCACTTCATCCACCCAGGCTTATCCTTGAGTTGAACCAAAGACAAATCCAAATCTCTTGGTCGCAATCATTAATCAATATAATGCACTCGGCGTGCCTGATTAAAATTGGGCGCATGTCGCTCTACTCAGGCCAAATTAAGCCCTTGGGAGTGGCCACAGCCGCAACCTCAGCCTCCCAATTGAAATGCCAGTTCATGTTTGGGGACTGGGACTGGGGCCTGCGGTTGCTGCTGTTGCTGCTGCTGCTGAGGCCTCGAGACCGCCTGGGCGACAGCTGAACAAAGTGTGTGTCAGTTGCAGTCAAGTGGAGCCATAAAGCTCCAAGAGATCGACGGTGGCGATGGCGATGCCCGTGTCAGCTACTGCGATCAGTCACGGGGCAACGGCAATTGAATTTGACTGTGGATTAGCTTGTGCCTGTGGATATGGACGGGTGGGCGGATTTATGGCCTGCCGCGTCAGTTTAATGAGTTGCCTGCATCCATAATGTCGGCCCAAAAGGAGCCAAGGGGCAGCCACAACCAGGGCAGGCAGCAAGCAAATAAATAAATCCACATACATATATTCGTGGAGATACATATATTCGTGGAGAGGGAGAAAAAAAGTCAATGGATTAGATTAGACAGCGCAGCTGTCGTGACAGGTTGAGCTGCGTTTGGGAAACGGGCACGAAATCGAAGCGGGCGAATGAGAATTTATGGCCAATGCCAAGCGAGCTGGAGCGAAGCTCAATCTCAGCCAGAGTCAGAGCCTGGGACTCGGACTGTGACTGTGACTGTGTTGGCTGTGCCCGTGGCTGGGAGTTTGGTCAATTGGTGCGTGCATGGGACGCAATATTTTATAATGACTTCATTACAACAACTGCAACAGGAGAGCCACAGTCGGTGGCAGAGAGCCTGAGGCCTGGGGCCACAAAAATTGTAATAAAAACTTGGCTTTATTTTGACTTTTTTCCGGCCAAATTTGGCCACTTTGATTCGTAGCATAATTGCCAATTATCGTGGCCATGTCCAGGTCCCAAGAGTCGAGTCGTGGGCGATGCTCAATCTCTCTCCCTCTCGCTCTCTTTCTTGTTATCTTTCCTTCCCTGTGGGGTGAAGCACGCAAAGCCAGCGGGTTGCCTTTGTCGGGCAAAGGATTTATGCGGCTAATGTGCGTCCGTTTCATTGTTTATTGAGCTCAGTGGGCTGTGGCTTGGGGCATGGTCAGGTGCAGTCAGCTCCCAATGAGCTGGGATAGC